TTAACATACAATATTGTATTACAATAGTTTCAGATGTACAACATAGTGGTTAGTCACATAACTTACGAAGTGATCCCTAATAAGTCTAGTACCCATCTGACATCATATATAGTTATTACAATATTATTGGCTATATTCCCTTTAATGTACTTTACATCTCTTTGAATGTTTTTATATTTGGCAATTTGTACATCTTAATCCCTTCCTCCTTTTCACCCATCTCCCCCAAACCTCTGGCAACCATCAATTTGTTCTCTGTATCTATGAGTTTGTTTCTGTTTCATTTGTTTGTTTTGTTCTTTAGATTCCACATATAAGTGAGATGATATGGTATTTGTCTTTCTATCTGACTTATTTCACTTAGCATAATGCCCTCTAAGTCAGCGGTTCTCAGTCTTCCTTATGCCGCGACCCCTTAATACAGTTCCTCATGTTGTGGTGACGCCCAACCATAAAATTATTTTCGTTGCTACTCTATAACTGTAATTTTGCTAGTTATGAATCGTAATGATCTTTTTGTTTTCCGATGGTCTTAGGCGACCCCTGTGAAAGGGTCGTTTGACCTCCAAAGGGGTCGCGACCCACAGGTTGAGAACCACTGCTCTAAGTCCATCCATGTTCTTGCCAGCTTTTTCCACTGTTTGTTTTCTGAAGATAGTCTAGCAAACTTGCTCAAATCAAAATCTCTGGGGGTTGGGGGCCGGCCGAGTGGCGCATTGGTTAAGAACTGGCTTGGGACACCAGAGGGCCCCGGTTCGGATCCCACATATGAGGGCCAGTGACACTGCCCTCTACAGCTAAGATGCTGAACAATAGCTCAACCTGGAGCTGAGCTGCCTTGAGTCGCTGGCGAACGGCGTAGGCTCCAGCCCCTGTGGCAGTGGGTTGCCATGGACTACCGAGTGTAGCCAGCAGCCAGCGTGAGTAGCCAGCGGTCAGCGGAAGCGGCCAGCAGCCACAGTGAGCGGCCGTCCAGAAGCCGGCGACTGATGTGCCTCGCCCGGGAAGAGCGCAATGATGGTGCCAACTTGGGCCAGTGAAGCAACGTCCTCCACAACTAGACTGAAGAACAAAACGACAGCAACTTGTCTGTTCCCCTTTCCCCAATTCCCGAGCACTGTTCCCATCCCCCCAATTCCCCAATTTAAGAAAAAAAAAATCTCTGGGGATTGGGACATCTCTTTTTTTTTTTTTAAACATCCCAGATGATTCACAAGAATCTAAAGAAACTCAACTTTGAGTCTCCCACAGGATGAGGGCTTCTATCTGTTACAGCTCTAAAGTGCTAGAGAATCTAATGCCATTCCTTCCTAAATCCTCTAGGATTTTGCTCCTGCCCTCTCTCTGTATTTTCAACCTTTCATCCTCAAGTCTCCCATCTCAACACACACACACACACACACACACACACACACACACACGCCAACCTGATCTTGCAATTAATTCTAAACTTATTCTTTCCTTCTTTCACACTCAAAGTCTTCAATAAAATGGATCTATTTTTAACTTCCCAGTATCTCTCTCTTTTTAAAACCACTAGTAGTATATGTGAGATTGACAGATTGAACTGCAAATGTATTTCCAGCTACGTACCAGTCATCTTCCCCTTCCCACCTAGCAAATCCCTACTCACCAATCCAATTTCAGCTCAAATATCATCTTTCTGGTAAAGCCTTGCAACACCTCGGCCCCAAAGGCCCATCCACTTATCTATTAAAAAAATCTGACACTGAAAGGCCTACCTACCTTACATTTAAGACAAAGTCAAAAGCCTTCCAGACAAACAACAAAAAAAGAATACAGTCATGTAGTGAAGGTAGTCAAAATGTGCAAACTTCCAGTTATAAGGAAAGTAAGTCCTGGGGAGGTACCGTACAGCGTGATGAGGACAGTAACAACACTGTCTGTGTTGTATAGCTGAAAGTTGCTAAAAGAGTAAATTTTAAAAGTTCTCTTCACACACAAAAAAAATTGTAATTGTGGCGATGGATGTTAACTAAGCTTGGGGTAATCATTTCACAATATATACACATATATGTGTATATCATTATGTTGCATACCTGCAACTAATAAAATATATGTCAATTATATCTCAATTAAAAAATACATTCAGATGATATAATAATCTATACCCAGGCTGGTCTTATTTTTTTATATAGCACTGTCCTCAAAGATTTTTAAGGGAAAAAAAAAAAGCATGTGGGAGTGAGGAGAAGAGAAGGGGCAGAGAATGAAGGAAGAATGGAGGGGACCAGTATAATGAATAAGAAATGGTGGGGTTAGCATCTTAAAAGAATGTTTGAATAGGAGTTGGTCAGGTGAAAAAGTTTTAACCTAAACTAACTTTCTCTTCTTTTTCTTTCTTGTTTGGTGCAGGGGGTTGGGGGATGAGGGTGTACACAGCAAGAAGGGACATTTTAGATATAACACAACCAGGTTTGTGCTTTTGTGTGCCTAATTGAGTGGCAGGGAAGGGAAGGTTAGTGATGAGGTTAAAATGTTAGGCAGAATTTTAGGAGTAACAATTATAGGTTTATTACAATTTTTCTCTCCCTCTATACTTAATAATTATCTGTTTGTGATATTAGGCCAGGCTTGTTAAAAACCAATTTTCACTTTATATCTAGATTTAATGAAGGAAGGAAACATGGTAAAGGATTTCTGCTAAAGTCAACTGTAAGAAAGGGCAGAATTGGGATAAGAAAAAATTCTGCTGTCAAGTTACTAATGTATTTTAATAGGAACACAGTGGCCTGTTTGGCAATTCTTTCATTAATTTAATATATAGGACCTACCTTCTACTAGGCTGTTCCCAAAATACAAAGCAAAGCCATACAAAACACTTTTTCTGCCCTCAATAAGTATATAATAAAATATGGTGCCTTACACAAGTTATCTACAAAACAGTCCAGGATTAATATCAGAAAAATGATACAAAGTGAGACACATCCAGATAAAGACGAGTAATCACTTTAAGCCAGCATTCTAGGAGAAGTCTGACACATCAAAAGAGCTTACTATATAGTATGTTGACTCTGAAAGCATTATGGAAGACCAGGGTTAGACTCAAGGACTAATCGAACCCACCCAGAGCAGTAGGGACCAGGGAAAAAAGCACAGAAATCAGCCCCTGGGTCTCACCAGCAGAGGCCAAGGTAAGGAATAGTGGGAAAGAAGGTTAGAAAAGTAAACAGGGGCTAACATATGGAGTTCCTTGAAGGTCAAACGAAAGAGTGTGAGCAGAGGTATAGCCTCCTAACATCCATGTTTCAGGAAGATGAATCTGAAAGGAAACTATACAGGCTGAATCACAGTGGGGAGAAAGTACTGCTGTGTAGAGCCCAGTGTCAGGTATTAGATGCCTGAACTAGGTGGTAACAACAGCAATGGCAAGGAAGGAATGGATTCTTTTGAACTGCCTGGGATTGTTTTTGAATGAGGGCAAATTCCAAGAGAAGAGCAACTTGTTAATATTTGTAGCCCTACTACTCGCAACTCAATGCCTTACCCACAGTAGACGCTCAGTAAATAAGCATCCTGCCAAGAAGGCAACTTGCAAAGACTAATGTGGATCTTCATTACTGCTAAGTGTCCATAATCTTCTCTCTGCTTCTGAAACCCACCCTTATTACAGCTAGCGTGAAGACCCTCTCCAATCTTAGTTTTACAACCTAAACCAAAATTTGCCAGTAGGCTTTTGAATCCCTTCCTTTTCCCTCAAAATATGCCATAGCATTTTTAAAACCATATACATTTGCTACTAAACATTTGCAAAACACTGCTCTTCCTAGGATTTCCTGTAGAAAATCATCCAGTTTCCATGTACACAACAACAAAAAACTTGCTGAAAAATTGTATTTACAGCATAAAGTTTTTCTTTAAGGCAGCAATCAACATGCTTCTTGTGTTACCTATTGAATCTGCTACATCACTAGTGCAACCACAAGTTGCAGCTTACATTTCCAAAGTTGTGCAAAGGGTCCAAAGTTGTGCAAGAGTCATCACTGAAATCAGACTCTGGTATATTAATAGTTGTATCATCTGAAGAAGCCTCAGTTTTATTATTAGAGTCAAGCAACACCAAAATCACAGGTATTAAAAAATATTTTACAAGTCTGTTTACTTATCTGTGCAATATAATCAGATGTTATTTTAAGTGACAATAACTGAATTTCTTTCTGCTTCAAACAGACATCAGGTCACCTGAAAATTGGCACTTGTGACCCTGGATTTTATATATTAAAAAAAAAAAATCAGCGTCCCCGACACACAAACACACAGGCAAGCTCACACCCAGAGCACCGAAGGGCCTTGCGTTACTATTAAATAACCCCACTTTACACGTGGCAAAACTCGACAGAACTCTCATGCTTTAATGACCTCGAAAGGGATTTCCCAGCCGTCAAGTAACGGGATGTGATTTATTCTGATTTGGGAGTTGAAGGTGTTAGAAAAAAAACAATGCATTTTTAAAAGGCTGCCTTCTTTCCTTCTCAGCTGGCTGTCCCAAACCAGGGAGCGCTCTGCCCAAGCCTTGGCAGACGCATGCAGGTTAGAGAAGGTGGGACTGTTCAGGAAACCCAAGACCCTCCTCCCATCACCTTCTGCTCTCCTCTGCCTCCCTTTTTCTTTCTCGGGGGCTGCAAAGAGGCCCAAGGTGATGGGGCCTTGGCGAGGGATTGCAATCAAATGAGCCGGGCCCTGAGGGCCCTACGCCGGGCGGCCCTCCTGTCATAACTTCCCCAATCGGGCGTCTCAAACGGCTGCCACGGCCCCCAGCTGCAGGGCTGCTCCGGGCGGGCGCCGCGGACCGGGCCTGGACAGGCCGCGGCCGCTCGCAGTGCCCACGTCACCAGCTCCAGCACTGCGGAAATGGAGCGGCGCGGCCGGGAGGGAGGCGCCGGGCGGCATCGGCGCCCGCGCAGCGGCCAGGCGCCGTTTGCCCCTCAGCTGGGACCCGCAGGCCGCCGACACCGCCGGACCGAGCCCGCGGCCCTCACCTGTGTCGCCGATGATGATATACTTGAAGAGATAAGCGTACGCCATCGCCGCGGCCGCTTGGTGCCAGGGCACACGGCTCCTCCTCCGGCTACTGCTCCTCCTCCTCCTCCTCCTCCGCGCCCCTCACCCCGGCGCCGCTCGGCCTCGAAACGCCAGGCCCCGCCCGCCGCCGCCGCCGTCGCCGCCGTCAGCCGCCGGGAGTGAGGGGCTGAGAGGAAGCCAGACAAACTGACACCGCCGGAGCCGAGTAAGAGAGCGCCCGGCCGAGCCCACTCGAACAATAACAGCCTCCTCGGCGCCTCTGCCCCGCCTCCGCGCCGACCCGGAAGTGCTGCGGCTGCCGGCGCCGCGGGAGTAAAGGGGAGGAGCCCCCACGCCGGCCGCGCCCGCCGGCCGGAGCCCCGCCCCGCAGAGCCCTGCCGAGTCCAGCGCCTGGCCGGCCGCACCCCGTCCCTCTGGTCAGCCCCGAGCCGGGCGAAGCCGGGCGCGGGTCGTTCCGGCACGTTTGAGCGAGCGACCCCGGCGGCCAGGAGATGCTGGGGGAGGGTTGGGGAGGGTTCGGTTCCGTCGCTGCGACGTGTGCGGGTGTCGCGTTCTTCCGCCCTTCGGAGGGGGAGCGAGGCACGGGTGGGAAGGTCGGGTTCCGCCCTGGGCCCCGCCCTGGGCTCGTGAAAAGGTGTAGGAACACGCAGGAGCCACCCTGAGGTGGGCTGCAGAGCGGTGATGCTTCTGTTTGGAGACCGGGCTTTGGCAGTGAAAAAGGGAAGTACCTGTGTACCCCAAACCGTAAATAAGGGAATGTGGAGTAAATTATGGTATGCCCCTGCGGTGGAATACTACGTGGCTCTTCACTAAAAAAAAAAAAAAAAAGCCTGAAACATGTTAAGCGAAAACAAGACTCAGGACTCAGTGTATAAATACATAGCATTTATATGTATTATTTATATATGCTATATGACAATTATAATATGTAATGAGTTATATTTATAAGTTATAGTTTATTGTTATATAGATATATATTTTTACCATTACATAAAAAAGGTGAGAGGAATACACTTAAATACCCATATGTGTCAGGTCAATCTGAAAGGAAACACCACTGGCACCAAGGCGGTGCGTGGGATTGGAGGAAGATGTGTGTTTCACTGAATTATTCAAGTGCGGTTTGAAATTTTTTGTTGTGTTCATGAATTACCTATTGAAAAAAGACATTTAAAGGAATAAACAAAACTTTTTGTTCATTCAACTAACACTTAAGGACGTACTTTGTTTCCTGCACCGCTAGGCATTGCAACTAAGGGCAGACCCTGTTCTATTTTTTTTTTTTAGCTGAGCCATCCTGCCACCTGTTAGCAACTCAGTGGCAGCTCAGCTTGGGCCCATGTGGGAATCGAACCAGCAACTCTGTTGCTCAGAGCTTGCACTCTTGAGCAAGCTATTAATCAACTGAGCCACTCGGCCAGCCTGGCAGACCCTGTTCTAAAGGGGCACAGATTTTGGAAGAGGGAGCAGAGGACCGAGTTTGTAAGTGTCAGGATAGGTTACCTAGAGGAGATGATGTCTGAACCCGGCATATGAATGTTGAGTAAGAATTTGTCAAAATGACAGAGGTTTAGGGAAGGGAACTGAAGTTTAGGCAAAGAAACAGAATGAGCAGTGATCATGGATCTGTTCAGCGAATTGGAAGTTGCATACTGGGAAGAAGTGACTAGGATTTAGTGGCCCTGGTTCCTATTACTTAATATTCTCCCCTCTCTTTTGGGGTCTTTCATTATGGAATTCTATTGACATCTTCATGCTGGGCTGGCTGTGGTTGGTTGCTGCATGATTTGACTGGCCTTGTAAGTATGAACTCGGGCTTTTTTCTGGAGTATTTGGAGGGGAGTTACTGAAGATTCCAAGATAGCCTGCAAGAATTTGATAGGAAAAGTTACCTGCAGTTGCATAACCTGGTTCATTCACCTTTACCTTGGGGGGAGGGGAGGTGTCTGCCCAAGGCCTCCAGGTTCCAGAGGCCATTTTGTCCCTCCCATTTGAATGCCTTCACTCAAGTCTTTTCTGGTGATAGACATTTAGAATGTCCCCTCCTTCCAGGAGAAACTCAGTTCCTTACTACTCTGGGGGTACGACCTTTACTCATAGTCCCAACAGGACAACTCTGTCAGTCAGGATGTGACACAAAAGCCTAGCGTCCTTAAGGATTTAGAACATTCCTATAATGTTGGAGGAGGTGCGTAGCTGGAGATGTCATTGATGCCAGGTCTCACAGGGTCTTGTAGCCATGTGGTTATGCATATAGAACTTTATCCAGTGGACACAAGGGAAACTGAAGAGAAAGGTCAGAATTGGGCATGTAAAAATAGAAATGGATGTAGAGCTATAGAGGTAATGCGGTATTAATAAAAAGAACTTAGGAAACCTGGCTTTTGATTTTGGCCCTGCCACTAACTGATTGGATCATTGTGACATCATTTGGCCTCTTAAAGTATCAGTGCACTCATCTATAAAGTGAAGGAGTTAAGTGTTACCTAAGAGTGCTGTTCCAAGTCTGAAGCCCCTGAATTTTATGTCTATCCAACCTCCAGATCTAAAGCCACCTGTAAAGTAAGGTAATCCTTCTCTCACGAAAATGCCAGGGCCACAGCAGTCAACTGTGTATTGTTCTTGCACAGAACTAAGATGCATTACTTATTCGTGAACAGGAATTGTAATGATCAGTTGCTGCAGAGCAGTGTCCTCTCATGGAAAAATCAAGGGCTCCTTTTTCAAGTCCTTCCCTGAGCCTCGGCTTCCTTATCTGGAAAATGTATGTAATAACTGCCTCACAAAGGCAGTTTAGTATCAAATGAGATAATTCATGTGAAGATATTTTGTAAATTTTGAAAAAATATATACCTAATACATAAAACTCTTAGTGCTGTATAATTTTTTTAAAATTACCTTAAGGAAGTAAAGGCCTAATCACAATATAAATTCATTTTTAAAAATCAGCTCCATTCCTGTCTCTATGTCTCTACCTTTATTTTTTTCCTACATGTACTTCATAATATTTTGTTATGTTTTCTCTAAGCCAGTATGCTGTTTTAAATCCTGTTTGAAACAACAGTGTATAAATAAAAACCACACAAACTTAATTTTGAGCATTTTATTTACCCCCCAAAATCCAAAAACATTTTTCAAGAAAAATTTCTCCAGCAAAATGACAGAAATAAACCTCTCTTTCCTTAAATTGTAGGATACTTCCTGGGATTTTTCCATTCAGTTTAATTTTCAGCTATTTTACTCTCTTGGGGATGAATTCCAATAATCTCATCTCTCAGTCTTACATCACATATGGTCTGACGGTCATAACTGTGAAATTTAAAGACTGAAAGACAACATTTTTTAAGGTCTCCTTGTTCAAGTTTTTCATGACATTTTAAAGTACAGTATTGTATTGGAATTTTGCATTTAGTGCTCTGAAGCAACCTTTCATGTGTTTACATTTTCTCTGGTTTTGATTGCTCTGCGACTGGGAAGAGAGCGTAGGGTGGGATGGGATGGGAAAAGGGTGGCTTGGAATACTGTAATCCATGGTTTCTTACTTTGGTTTTCATGGTTTCCTTAGCCAGTTCTTGAATGAACTCCAGGGGCTCTGAGCCTCCAGAAACGGTATACAAAATGTTGTATGTATTTACATTATGGATGTAATTTTATGGGAGAAATTCTTACATTAGTCCATGCCCTAGAAATAGTTAAGAACCACTGTGAAATGCCCTCTTTCGGCCATTTCTAAATACCACGACAGAACCAATTTTCCAGCAAATACGAATAAATTCAGTACCAATTTTGGAGGAAGTAGGAACTAGTTTCCAATCCTGAATTTCCCATCTATCAGTTGAGTGATCTTGGATAAATTCCTAAACTCTCAGCCTCAGTTTTCTTATGAGATGACATAAATAAAGTGTCTAGCACAGCGGTTCTCAACCTGTGGGTCGCGACCCCTTTGGGGGTCGAACGACCCTTTCACAGGGGTCGCCTAAGACCATCGGAAAACAAAAAGATAGTTACATTACAATTCATAACAGTAGCAAAATTACAGTTATAGAGTAGCAATAAAAATAATTTTATGGTTGAGGGTCACCACAACATGAGGAACTGTATTAAGGGGTCGCAGCATTAGGAAGGTTGAGAACCACTGGCTAGCACAATGTCAAGCTCACAGTAGACAGTAAACATTGAAATCATTTCCCCCTTCCTTTCATCCTCTTGTTTGTCCTCCTCCTCTAACCTGTCACTAATAACTGTAGGAGTTAAATGAAGCCAAAAAGACCCTTTGACCTAAAGGAGATTAGAATCTCCTTGTGCTGAGTCATGAGTGGCTTTGGTCTGATGAAGGCTACAGCAGAGAGGTCCTCTGTTATTTTAGAGGACAGAATTTTGTTCTGGGCCATGAGGGTAGATTTTATGGAAGGAGACCTATTTAAGCTGAGCCTTAAAGGACATTATCTTTCATAGTTATTGATTTAACCTAGCCCTTCCAGATGCTTCAACAGCCCTCTTCCCTATACTTTATTCACTTTTTCCACCTGATCTGCCATTTATATTCTAGTTGGTCAACCTACTTAATATTCTGTTTTACTTTACTATTTATGACTTATTTTTGACCACTTGTCAAAGCCAGAAATGGCTGTTTCCTCTCTTCCATTCTGCTTATCCTTCAAAAACTTTCTTAAAGAATCAAAACGATCTGCATATTCACATCCGTCCTCAATGTTTTCAGAGGTGGGTGAAAAAACTTCCTTTTATATGTAAATTATTCTTTTTACCAATGGACTGATCATTAGCAATATAAGGGGCCTACATAAGTGTGTGGACCAGAGAAACAGTGAATATTGGAATAATAATCTTATTTTATAAAATAGTGGATTAAAAATATAACTACATAAAATATTTTGAATTAATAATTAATTAAAAAACTTCAAAGTTAGTTAAAAACCAGAATAGTGTTCTTAAAGTAACTACTTTTCTAAGTGCTTAACATTTGCTTAGTGCTTTCAGCAGAGAAAGTGGTCTGGAGAAAGGCCTAATATTGGATTCCTGGAGACCTGAATTATAGTCTCTTCCCTGCCACTACCTAGCTGACCTTGAGAAAACTATCTTCAAACTCTTTGTCATATGTTCAATAGAGATAATAATTCCAGTGGCTTACATAATAGAATTGCTGGGAGGTAGATGTGAGAGCACTCTGAAAAGACCATTATTACTAGGAGAGAATATATATACCAAATTGTGGGTGAATGATTTTCTGTACATGTATCTAAGTATATTAAAAGACCACCTGTATAACATCAGTAATATTTCATTACCTGCATTGCTGTTTTGTTTTTTGTTTTTTTTTGTCCGTAGAGACTAGACCATGCGATTGCTCCAAACCCTACTCTTCATTTATCTTTGATGTGTTCTATGTCTTGTGTTAATTGGCAGGTGTTCCTTGTTTTGGAAAAGTTGGGACTGGAATAAGAGTGGATGCAGGAGTATACTTCACATTGTGCTAAAGAGAGAACCATTTATGACTCCCGTAAGTGCTTCAAGTTATTTTAATCTTTCCCCCTAAAGGTCTTTAAATTTTGCTGAAGACAAATTCGTTTTCTCTCCATTTTTGAGGAAATGACAAGCTAGCTCCATCCCACTGGGAGGCATGGACAGAGAAAACATGTCACTGATGTCATTTGTGTAAGACAGGATCTTAGAAAATAAGTGGTGCAGGGAATTGTGAGATTATACTTCAACCTTCTTGTATCTCCCCTCCCTCCTATCTAATCTTTATCCCTGCTTCTAACAATCCCATTATCAGAATTTTGGACATATGGAGTGAGACAGAAGAACATGACCACGTAGAATCACATTTCACTTCTAATCTGGAGAAAATAGGAGTCTGTTTCTCCAAACTTCCTTATTTTAAAAAATTAAAGTTAAGTTATTAAAAGAATAAATCTTTCCTTCAAAAATTGAGATTATATCTGAAGGCTCACATTTAAAACTCTGCAAGGCTAATTTAGATTTGTGCCAGGAATTATTGCTGCACTTCTGCTCTTTTGAAATTTTCAATTTGAGGCACCTGGGGATCAATTCTCAAGAATTTTTTCACATTAACTGATTATGAGAAAGTACACTACAACCTTAAAATAGCAATCAACACAATTTTTGTGCATCAGAAACCTGGGTGCATTTGGCTTGGGGTCTCTCATGGGGTTGCGGTTAATCTGCAGTCATGTGAAGGCTTGATTGGGGCTGGAGAATTCATTTCCAAGACGGCTCGTTCACGTGGCTGTTGACCAGGAGCCTTAGTTCTTTACCAGATGGATCTCCCATAGGACTGCTTGAGTGCCCTCATGACACAGAAGCTGATTTCTCCCAGAGTGAGTGATGAGAGAGAGAGAGAGAGAGAGAGAGAGAGAGAGAGAGAGACAGACAGAGAGACAGACAGGGCCAAAACCTCAATGTCTTTTATGATCTAGCCTCGGAAATCACGTACCATCACTCCTTCTGTATTCTTTTGGTCCCATGGACCCCCTATGATAAAATATAGGAAGGGACTGCACAGGGGTATTAATACCAGAGGCAAGGATCATTGGGAGTCAGAAGCTGGCTACCACAACCTAAGGAGAGCACGAAGTAAAACAGGGATCTAATAAATGTCTAACCATCTGAAATCAGATACATTTTGGATCAAATCAGGTTTATTTAACTATAAAGTATAATTTAAGTATAAAACTTTACTATAGATTTACTATAAATTTACTATAAATTTTGCTATAAATAGATTAGTCTATAAAGAAGTTTATGTTACTTTTGCTTTTGTGTACTTCTAAAAGTATTTTGTTTTTATCTTTTTAAAGATTTTTTTTTAAATTGGGGAATTGGGGGAGGGGAACAGTGTTGGGGTATTTAATTGGGGTATTGGGGACTGAAGCCAAGTTGTTCTTCAGTCTTCGTTGTGGAGGGCGCCAGTTGCTATCTGGCTTCCCATCGGCAGCTCGTGGCCCCTAAGCTCAAGGTGCTGTGTTCAATCTTAGTTGCGGGTGGACGTAGCCACCATCCCATGCGGGAGTCGAACCAGCAGCCTTGTTCTTAAGAGCTCACACTCTATCTACTGAGCCATCCGGGTGGCAGCTCAGCTCACGGTGCCGAGTTCAGACTTAGTTGTGGGTGGGCATAGCCCACCATCGAACAGGCAATCTTGTTGTTACACCAGCTGAGCCATCTTGCCACCTGTTGGCAGTTCAGCAACAGCTCAGCTCGGGCGCAGCGTCCCTGGCCCATGTGGGTATTGAACCGGTGGCCCTGTTGCTCAGAGCTCGCACTCTTAAGCCAACTCTTAACCAACTGAACCACTTGGCTGGCCCCTCTAAAGGTATTTTAGATAAAGGACCTGAAAAATAATTATTTTACAGTTGGAAAAGGAAGAAAAATACATTTTTCAGTTCTTAAAAATACTTCAAAGTAGTTGTTTTGAGGATGGAACACAATGACAACGTAACTCCTAAAAACTCTTTTTAAAAAAAGGGTTGTTTGGGGCGGCTAGGTGGCTCAGTTGGTTAAAGAGTGAGCTCTGAGTAACAGGGTTGCCGGTTCGATTCCCACATGGGCCAGCGAGCTGCACCCTCCACAACTAGATTGAAGACAAGGACTTGAGCTGAGCTGCTGCTGAGCTGTTGCTTGGCGGCTGGATGGCTTAGTTGGTTAGAGCGCATGCTCTTAACAAGGTTGCCGGTTCAACTCCCACGTGGGATGGTCGGCTGCACACCCCCCCCCCAACACACAGACAACTAGATTGAAAATGGTGACTGCACTTGGAGCTGAGCTGTGCCCTCCACAACTAAGATTGAAGGACAACAACTTGACTTGGAGTTGATGGGTCCTGGGAAAAACACACTGTCCTCCAATAAAGTTAAAAAAAAGAAAAAAAGAAAAAAAAAGTGTTTGTTTCCATCCCAAGTCCTTAAGGATTCATGGATTCATGTGGTTCAACAGAGTAAACAATTTATTTCTATTTTTTTCATTAACTTCTTTGAATACTTTTATGGAACTCAGTATTTTCCTACCTGTGAAACTCATATCAAAATATTATAGCAGTTGATTATGCATTTTAAATTTTAGGTTAAAAAAATCTACATTAAATGCAAGTAGGGGAAGCACTGCCTTTAGTTAAGCAAGTTTAAGGTACAAACAAGTAGAAGTTTGACTATCATCTTATTCCCTAAAAGTAGTCTTTTCTGGTACTATAGTTTAGTAATCTTTATTAGAAGAACTGAAGGCTTATGTCATTTTGGAATCTTATCTTGAAGTTTTCGTTACTAGGCCTAATGGAGAACATTTTTTACTCTTAGTAAAAGAATATTTTAACTTTCTTGATACTGCATTTGATTATAATTATAATGCAGAACCTCTTAGAATAAGCAGGTTATTTAACATTGATATATTATACCTTTTCTTAATTTTTCCTTTAGAAAAATCAATTACGGACAAAAAGCTCTTTAGAACTAGATCCTGCTTCCTCTCTTTGAATTGACTGAATGTATTTCTGGAAGGTTCTCCTTTCACTTCACCCCAAAAGACACTAAATCCAAACATCAAATGTGAGATTGTCTCATCTGAAACCAGAGATAAGCTATTTTGCTTATTTATAAAAGAACAGACTGAGGTTCTTGCATTACTAATTAAAACACAAAAATTGAATTATTTACCTTTTCTTTCTTGAAACAAGCAGAGATGAGGAAGTAAATATATAATATGTTTTATTATGCAACACAGGATATAGGAAATTGAGAGTGGACTCAGTATACAGGCATCCCTCAATTAACATTAATTCACTTATGAAATTTTTGAAGTCACTAAGTCACTGACGTGAACAACTCTTCAGTGATCACTTTAATGTAGCTGTCTAAGAAAGAATTATTTGAAACCTGCCATTCATATGCCAGGTACGAAGGATAGATGTGTGATTTACCATGAAGCTAATGAGGCTTAAGCTCAGGATCCCTTACTTGCATGAATCCCTTCCAAGGCAAATGTGTTCACATGGCAATCTTCTTTCTTCCTTCCTTCCTTCCTTCCTTCCTTTCTTTCTTTCTTTCTTTTTCCTTCCTTCCTTCCTTCCTTCCTTCCTTCCTTCCTTCCTTCCTTCCTTCCTT